ATCTATATTTATATATCTATATAATAGATATATATATATAAATATATAGATATATAAATATATTTTTTTTAAAATTGACACATCTTGAATTGCTTCTACTTTCTGTGTTATCCACACAGACAGCTTATATATGTACAGTAAAATATTTATGATTTTATTTGTTTTGGTTTGCACAATGAGCCACTGACGATTTTTGTCATCGTACCAGGAAGAATTTAAAACTAGTTTCACCCCTGGACACAACTGGGCCGAACTCCTCCCTCCTGAGCCACCATAACCGTACAATGTATGTTTAAACATTTAACCTCTTATCTACTCGATGTCATTCTGTGCTTGTAGAACAAAGTACAGAAAATTGTTTTTTTTTTTTTTTTTTTTTCATTAGTAGCAACAAAATATCCTGGGACTAACAAGTCAGAGTGATGGTAAAACAATTCTCAAACTATCATGTGAAATCATTGGTGGATGTTAGTGAGGCAACAGCTTGACACAGATTCCTTAAAGTGAAGTTCCAAAGACATGATCAATAATGTTAGAAAGTTTTACTGTTTTCTAGACGCCACAGGAAAAACAAAACATGTTGGTAGAAACGAACAGTGAGACTTTGTGAATCTGAAATCGCATGAACCAGTTCAACTATGATAATATTGATCTTTGTTTGTTTCCCTGCAGTAAAGCAACCTACCAGTTATTTTACACCGTCAGTCAGGAACAAGATAAAAGTATCTTGTGTCAACAAAAATTAACTATCAGAAAAAAGATTGCATTGCTTCCTTTTGCTTTATTTTTCTTTTTTCTACTGGCTGTAAATATAAAGTTTGTCAACAATCCACATTAATCTTTTGAAAGCGATATTTCCAACATATCATGAATGCAGCATCTGGCTGGGCGTAACCAAATCAGAAAGTGAAACTTTTCAGAAATTTTAGCTCACTCGAATAGCAACCTAAGTTTAGAGAAGATGCTGTGAAAGTCTTTACAAATTACCTTCAAGTGTTGAATCTCAGCTGAGGGTAAGTTCATGTTTTTCCTTTTAGATAACTCACCAGAAACATTAAAATATTATTGATGTTTTGTTTTTTTGTGATTTTTGTGTTTTTCTTTAAGAATCCTTCATGTAAACAGTCAAACGAGTTCAGGTAGTCGGGGATGTTTAGCGTCTGTTACATAAAGTTTAGCATCCAGAAAACGTGTGGTTGTAAGGAAGTAGAAAGTATGTATTCTTCAACTTCTGTTTTTGACCTATATTGTATTCTGGAGAAAACAGCCCAGATAGCAAAATATGAGTGAAACAACGTTAGGCAGAAACATTGAATCCATGTTGAAACCTGATATTGGTCGGTGACTCACATGTTGAATCAACGTGTAACTGACACTATATCAATGTTGATTCAACCATTATCTGAAAGTGGGTCTTCATGCACTTTTGTGTTGATTTTATATTGAATCAATGTTAAGGAGTCAATATTGATTAATGTAAATTTTTTGGTCTGATGGGTCTACATCATAACATACCATGGTAACACTTTATTTGAAGGGGGTGAATAAGACTGACATAACATCTGTCATGAACATGAATAAGCCTTCATGAATATTTATGACTGTTGTCATAAAGCGTCATTCAGTAAATTATGACACTTTTAATACAAAGTTGACATTATTCAAAATGTCTTTGTTATGACAACTTGACATTAACCAAGAAATCATTACTGTTTAAACTTTACCTTTAATAACATAAAGATACCTAATTTTTAAAGTGCAATCAGTAATACTTTTATAAAAAAATTATATCCGATGCTGATATCTGCTAAGTTTTGAAGAACATTTTAAACCTCTTTTATTAAGAATTTAATGTGTGTAAAACTGTTATCATATAATTGTTTTATTTATTCAGGTTGCTGAAAAGTATAAAGGATTATATTAGAATAAAAATAAGCACCAACACTGAGCATAGAGTTTACTTTCTGTCTCATATCTGCTGCTGCAGGAGATCTGGAAACGTCAGAATGGGTTACCAGATTTTTGTTAAGACATTAACGGGGAGGACTTTAACGATAAACCTCGGCAACACAGAGGAAGAGATGCAGAGCGTAACCGTGGGTCAGCTGAAGACAAAGATATTTCAGAAGGAAGGAATCCCAGGTAAACTCACTGTGACTTTTCAGGCAAAACAGCCCAATGATCATTTACCACACACACACGTACACACTTATGTGTGCGTGTGTGTGTGTGTGTGTGTGTGACATTTAATTAAAACTCTGTATGAAGCAAAGCATAGAGCAAGAGGCTGGTTTTTTAACAGATTATCAAAATGTTAATATTCCTCAAAAATGAATGTTTTAGAAAGTAACATGAGGTTTTAGCTTTTTGTGCGGAGTATCTATGTCTGCACAATTAGTAGACGGAATTATTACAGATTTAGATGAAAAACATTTCTCCTTCTCTCACTTAATTATTTTCATCTAAGAAGAGAATTATAAACAAACAACTCAAAACGTTGTAAAAAAATATTTTTGAAAAAAAAAGAAACAATAAAGACACCCTTCTTTTAAAACCCAGCAATAAACCAGTTTCTGAATCTGTTGACGATTAACTTTTTGTTCAGCGTCTCAGATGATGTTCATAGAGCTGGACTGTTTTCTTCCACTAAACCTTCTGTATGAACTGCCTACAAGTTCTAAAGGTCAGGTGACGAAAAGACCAAATCACCAGTTTTTTATTTTTATATAACTGATGGTAGTCACACAGAGTATTTCAGTTCCTGTGATGGATACTTGTCCTGCATAGAAATAGTTGCTTATGAAACATGCAGCTCTTCCTGTACCACTGCTTGAAGAAAGTGTTTTCTAAAAACTGGCAGCAGGTTTAGGGGTTGATTTTGACTCCATCTTTAACCCGAAAAGGTCCAACAAGATCATCTTCAGAAACACCAGAACACCCACCTCTACCTTGCTGGCTTCTGACTGGAAGTGGAGCTGTGTGCCCGTTATTAATCCACTAAGTGGACCATCCATCTGGTCCGCCTAGAGTCACTCTCATCTCATCAGTCCATAAAACATCTGTAAAAATTTGTTGTTGGATATTTCTCCACAGCTGTGTGTCTTGTTCAGTGACGGTCAGGTTTCAGCCTTCCTTACGTTGGCCATGTCTGAAATGTCGTTGTGTTGGCAACAGTGAGGTGATTGTTATTAATTGAAACATACAGATATGACCTGGTAGGCCGGTGTTCTAACTATCTGGGCTACCCATAAATCCGTCCTACCTTGTGGTAATGCACATTGATGATACGTCACATACTGCTTACTCAGCAGATTTCTTATCATTCTGGAATTTATCTGGAAGTTTCGTTTAATCTGTCTTATTTCATCCAAGATTACACTAAGCTTTATTTAATTTATTTAATAACTGGCTTCCATTAAGCTGCTGTATTACTTCATGGTTTAATGTTACATGACAGGCAGCTTGTAAACATATTTATAGCTTTAGTTTGCCGTCTGCAACATCGTTACTATACTGTAAACAAGAATTGGTGTCAATCATGTTAACCAGGACAAAATACTTTGCATTGTGGGCTATTTTGTCCCTATAAACTTAAAATATTTTACTTTAATAACTCTTTATTAAACCGTGCTAAATGGAGGATGTTGGTGTCGATATTATGTGAGATATTGAAGATGTGTAATAGCAGTGTAATATTAGTGTATATTAAACACATCCTGTCATTTTCAGTGCACAGTGACCTGTGCAGTTCTGTGGACACATTGTGGCTGCATTTGATAACAGACATACAACGTATTAATGTGCAAAGAGGAGTTTGCGGTGACCTGTAGTTGCAGATGTCTGTGTTGAATTAAATTTAAATAAAAACCTGTCTGATACGGTTTCATTCTTACAAACACCCCTATAGCTTTTCATTTTAAACAGGTAGGATATTCAGATGAAGGAAGTTCTTGTTGTTTCGTCGTGTATATAAATTGTTCCAATGCTAAGCTAAGCATAACTACTAAGCTTCCACTTTAGTCCCGACACTCAAATAATGTTATCAGGTGATATTTAACATTAAAACAACCCGCTACAGATTTCAGTTTGTAAACATTACGGTAGCAGTTTTGGACACGTAGCACTGACAGATGAACATAGCCATCTGTCCGTGCTACTGTAGGAAAATCTGATGAGGTAGCACAGATAGTCAGAACATCGGTTTATCAGTCAAACCTCTTTCACAGGAGAGGATTGTGGCTGATTTTTAGACCTTTGCTGAGGAAGAAAAGGTGTGGGGTTTCTGACTGCATACAGAATTCTTGTTCACATCTTAAAATCGTAATCAGCAGGTTTGGCTCTTTAAAAAAGAACCTGACATGGCCACGGTAAGGAAGGCTGAAACCTGAGACCACTACTGAACACGAAGTGTCTAGACTGGGCCAAGAAATATCTCGGGATCAGATCAGCTTCACCTGCAAGTATTGACCAATCACCGGTCTCCCAAAATTAATGTAATCAGTGCAGCCTTCAAAATAATGGATTCCTGGTTGCTTCACGCTCGGTTCTCCCTGGAAGTTGATGTGCATCTTTTTTTATTGACACATTTCTTGTTGACTGTCTGCAACAAAATGTTGGTCTTTGATCACAACTCAATGTCTGAACAGTTTCAAGACTGCTGCCTCCCTCAGACAGGTGGTCAGTTTTGACTATTAAGAGCCAATTAAATCTCTTTTCTGTCTAAGAAACAAAACTGCCTAATAATTATACTCACCCAGACACAGATTGTTGACCTATTTATGTCACACTCTCTCTCACTATATACATGCATATATCCTGCTATGCTTAAATTCATTAAGCATTTAAGTTGATCCAACTTGGAGTTACAAAATATCACTAAAGAAAATGATTTGGTCAAAATATTTACAGGCCTAATAATTGTGTATATTATGGATAATAGTTGTTTATAAATGTTTATTTTGGTGTATTTGTATGATATTAACTATGATTCTAAGTGTGTTTGTTTGTCATGTGTGCAGAAGACCAGCAACGATTGATCTTTGATGGCAAGGAGCTGGAGGACACAAAACGGCTGATTGAATATGGAATCCAACACGAGTCCGAAATACATTTGGTTTCAAGAGTGCCTGGTGGAGAGCAGCCTCCTGAGACTGACTCAGATGATGAAGTGAGTGATAGGTCGGGTGAAACTCAAGCTCAAAGAAGAAGTAGAGAAAATTTGGCTGATTTTAGTTGTTGTTTATGCTGATTTATTTTTACTTATTTTAACAGAACTATGTATTGTATTTTGTCCTGTGAATTATACAGAAAGATGTTTTGTTTTTTTATGTTTACTTGTGTCAGACAAAGGATGAAATTTAGTTATTGTAATAATTCACTTCCATTAATTGTGATAAAACTGATTAATGGGCAGTGTACAAATCAAATAAATATGATCAGCAGAAATATTCAAGGTTTCTTGTTTTTTCATTGAGTCAACTGTAAGAACATTTGTAGACCGATTTTTAAGAATCTTGTGTTTTGTATTTATAAAGCATCTTCTTTTTATCTACTTTACAATTTAAACAAAGGAAATTTGCTAAAGTGCAACACAATGCAAGATCATTTGTGAACATCAACAGGAAATTTGTCAATACTACAAATTTTATATTTGGAGTCTGAGATTAAGAGTAGAGTCAAAGCATTAATATTAGTGATCTACATGATCTTCCTTACAAACTGATAAAGGTGAAGAGAGACAAATTAAAACTGAAACATAGAAGCACAACATGTAAATAAGGTTTTCAGCTCAAAAGATGATCACAACCTGCAACAAGAGAAGGAAAAAAATAACGTAAAACATTTTATCTCCAAAAACTAAAGAACTGATGCCTTCACAGAGCAATAAGAGTTGAAAAGTCATTTCACTTTTATAGTAGAATGTTTTTCCTCTCTAAATGAAATAGTTATTTCAGAACTGGAAGTCCTTCTCTGTCGATTTGAGGATTAGTCAGATTTTTACGTCTTTTACATAAACTGTCTGCATGTTCTAGATTGAAGCTTTAAAAACAAGTTGCTAGAATAAAGCCTGTGGAGTAAAGATGGAAATGGAAATGGAAAACTTAAAAAGGTAGGATTATCTGGAAGGCTTAGGAAGGGGAAAAGATTAGTGTAACAAGGAAAG